AAGCTGAAGAGCCACGACGTCACCATCGACGAAGAGGAGGCGGTCTCCAAGTACCTCCACTCCGTGCCGGCAAAGTACATCCAGATCACTCTCTCCATAGAGACGATGCTGGACTTGTCCACCCTCATCATTGAGAATGTGACAGGCCGTCTGCGGGCAGTGGATGAGCGCTTGGAACAGGCATCAGCAACAAAGGACAGCGACAAACTACTGCTGACAGAGGAGCAGTGGGCTGCTCGGAGGAACTCTAGGGTAGCCTCCTCTAGCCACGATGGTGATGGCAAGCGTCGCGGCAAGGCTTCTTCAGAGAAGAAGCGGGTCGACCCCAACGCCTGTCGACGCTGCAGGAAGATAGGCCATTGGGCATGGGAGTGCCCAAATTGCAAGCAGGAGAAGAAGGCTGAGGCTCATCTAGCGCAAGCTGATGATGATGATGAGGCCACTATCCTGATGGCGATATTCTGTGCACTGCACGACATCGAGGCCGAGGAGATGGTAGAGGTGATGACGGTGGATGGACCTGGGAAGGCCCTGAAAGTTGTCAACCTTGACAAACCACGCGCCCAAGTCCACCTCGGACATATGGGCGGTGAGCAGGAGCAGTGGTGCTACCTGGACTCTCGCGCCAGCAACCACATGACGGGCTCTAATGCAGCCTTCTTCGAGCTCGACGACGATGTTACCAGTATGGTGAAGTTTGGTGACGGCTCAAGGGTAGCTATCCAAGGGCGCGCCACCATCATCTTCAGGTGCTAGAACGGGGAGCACCGCGCGCTAACGGATGTATATTATATCCCGCAGCTGCGTTCAAGCATCATCAGCATTGGTCACCTAGATGAGAGTGGTAGCGAGGTTCTGATCAAGGACGGAGTCCTTAGGATCAGGGATCGGGAGCAGTGACTTCTTGCCAAGGTGAAGAGGTCCATAAACCGGTTGTACCTGCTTGACCTAAAGGTAGAGCAGCCGGTGTGCCTGGCGGCAAGGCACACCGAGGAACCGTGGCTGTGGCATGCCCGGTTCGGACATCTCAGCTTTGACGCGCTTGGTCGGCTAGAGAAGATGGTTCGAGGGCTACCCCACATCAAGCACGGAGGCGAGCTGTGTGATAGCTGCCTAGCCGGGAAGCGGAGAAGGCTGGCGTTCCCAAAGGCGGCCAAGTATCGCGCGGAGGACGCTCTCGAGCTCGTCCACGGCGACCTCTGCGTGCCAATCACACCAGCTACAAACGGTGGTCGGTGGTACTTCCTCCAGCTCGTGGATGATTGCAGTCGCTACATGTGGCTACAACTCTTGACGAGCAAGGACGAAGCGGCGACAGCGATCAAGAAGTTCAAGATGCGCGCGGAGGCCGAGAGCGGCAAGAAGCTCCGCGTGGTGAGGACTGATTGCGGTGGTGAATTCACTTCGGTGGAGTTCGCTGCGTACTGCGCGGATCAGGGTGTGGTACGACACCACACCGCGCCGTACTCGCCACAACAGAATGGCATGGTGGAGCGACGAAACCAGACGGTGGTCGGCATGGCTTGATCCATGATGAAGGCCAAAGGCATGCCAGCAAGGTTCTAGGGTGAGACGATTACCACGGCGGTGTTCATCCTCAACTGTGCTCCCACCAAGGCCCTGAAGGGCAAGACGCCGTTCGAGGCTTGGCATGGACACAAGCCGAGCATGTCCTTCCTCTGGACATTCGGCTGCATCGGCCACGTCAGGAAGACGAAGCCGATCCTCACCAAGCTGGAGGACAGGAGCACACCGATGGTGTTTCTGGGCTACGCGGAGGGTACCAAGTCATACCGGCTCTATGACCCACGCGGGACAAGGTACTTGTCTCGCACGACGTCGTGTTCGATGAGAAGGCGGCTTGGGACTGGAACAGTCCGAGCACAAGGGAAGCTGGCGGCTTCACCAGCACCTTCATCGTCGAGCACTTTGTCATCCACGGTGGTGGAGACACTGGGGAAGAGGTGTCGAGCATTCCGGGAGGGGTGCCGAGCACTCTAGCAACAGAGCCAAACACTCCTGTGGCGGTGCCGAGCACTTCGGGAGGGATGCCGAGCACTCAGGGAGGAGTGCCGAGCACGCCAGGAGTGGTGCCAAGAGGTTCTACAGTGATGGCGACCACTCCAGGACGGGTGTCGATCACTCTCGTAGCAGAGCCAATAGGTGTTGCAGTAGTGCCGACCACTCCAAGACTGAGGCTCAGCACTCCTACAGTGGTGTAGAGCACTGCAGGAGTTATGACGAGCTGTCCAGAAGTAGTGCTGATCACTGCAACCAGGGTGCCGAGCACTCCAGGTGTTGTGCCGAGCACTCCGGCGGAACAGGGAACTCCATCGATGCCGATCGAGTTCGCCTCACCTCCAAGTGACGTCACTGAGTTCGTGGATGCCTTCCACGAAGGTGAGGAGGTGCGGTTCCGCAGGCTAGATGACATCATCGGTGGCCCTCAGGCCCGACGGGTAGGCTGCTCAATGACCCAGAGCTACTGCTCATCAGTGCTGAGGAACCACCCACGTTCGCGCTGGCCGAGCGCGATGGAAACTGGCGACGGGCGATGCTTTGGAGGAGATGAAGGTGATCGAGGAAAGCGAGACATGGGAGCTCCTCGATCCACCTCTAGGATGCCGTCTGATCAGCCTGAAGTGGGTGTACAAGGTCAAGCGGGATGAGCTCGGCGCCATTGTTAAGCAGAAGGCATGCCTCGTCGCCTGAGGCTTTGTCCAGCGCGAGGGCATCGACTTCGAGGAAGTCTTTGCGCCAGTAGCGCGTATGGAGTCTGTTCGTTTGCTACTAGCCTTGGCAGCAGCAAAGGACTGGCGCGTCCATCACTTAGACGTTAAATCGGCCTTCCTCAACGGCGAGCTGGCGGAGACGGTCTTTGTCAGGCAATCTCTAGGTTTTGCCGTCAAGGGAGAGAAGCACAGGGTGCTCCAACTGCGCAAGGCGCTCTACAGGCTACGGTAGGCCCATGAGCGTGGAACGCCAAGCTTGACGCCACGCTGGGCAAGCTTGGGTTCCAACGGTGCGTGATCGAGCATGCGCTCTACACGCGGCGACGGGGGAAGGAGGAGCTCGTCGTCGGCGTGTATGTGGACGACTTGATCGTCACCGGCGCGCGTGCAGAGGACATCAACAGCTTCAAGCACGAGATGGCGGCTCGTTTTCGAATGAGCGATCTCGGCGCACACTCCTACTACCTCGGCATCGAGGTAAGACCGGGGGAGGAACTCAAGCTCGGTCAGAGCGCGTACGCCACGAAGCTATTGGAGCGGAGCGGCATGGCTGAGTGCAAGCTATGCGTGACTCCGATGGAGGAGCGGCTGAAGCTGACGAAGGCCAGCACCGCGGTGAAGGTGGATGCAACACTCTGCAGGAGCATCGTCGGCGGTCTGCGCTACCTAGTCTATACGAGGCCGGACATTACGTTCGCCATGGGCTACGTCAGTCGCTTCATGAAGGATCCCAGAGAGGATCACTGGGCTGCGGTGAAGCGGCTACTGCGCTACGTCAAGGGGACGGTGGATTAGGGGATCATCTTCCCCAAGACCGGCAGGAGTAGGCTACAACTCACTGTGTTCAGTGATGCAGACATGGCGGGGACATCGACGAACGACGGAGCACCTCTGACGTGCTCGTCTTTCTCGGGTCGGCTCCAATTTCATGGCTGTCGCTGAAACAGAAGGTGGTGGCGCTGTCTACGTGCGAGGCATAGTACGTAGCGGCGGTCATAGTGGCGTGCCAAGTTGTGTGGCTACACCGGCTGCTGGGCGAGCTGACCGGTACAGAAGCTCACCCACCAGCACTGATGGTGGACAACCAGCCCGCCATCGCCCTTGCGAAGAATCCGGTTGTGCACGACCGGAGCAAGCACGTCGACGTGAAGTTCCACTTCCTCAGGGACTGTGTCGATGAAGGGCAGATCGTCATCGAGTTTATCGAAACTGGTCGGCAACTCGCGGACGTCCTCACCAAGCCGCTCAGACATCTTCGACTCACGGAGCTGAAGGAGATGGTCGACATGAAGGGGGTACAAGGGATAGCAGTAGGATTAAAGAAAGAATTATTAGATAATCTACTGCTTCCTTGTGTGAACACAAGGCAAGAGAAAAGCGGCGCCGAAAAGGCTCCCTACTGTGGTACTGTAGCCATTGTAGAAGGCAAGCGCTGAACGGCTCACCTGCCTTACTGTAGCCACATGCAGGGACATGCACAGAAGTCAGTCCTGCTGTGTTATCTAGTCACCGTTACAGCATGACAACTGTACTAGGACTAGATGAATAGAGTTATATATATAGTTTGCCACTGCAACTCAACAAACAGAGTTCAGATTTGTCATCTCCTATACAGAGCTCCGGCCAACGCTGGTGTCTCTGTTGTGTGTGTATGCTCTGCTCTCCCTTCTTCTACCTCTAGCCATAGTGTGTGGTCGGACAGCGTCTGTCGTGGTCGGCAAGGCTAGTGAGTGATCGACTCATCTGAGCCGGTGATTCTGTGGGCTAACAGTAAACACCACCAACCGCTATGTGCAGACTTCTCACCCCATTCAAGCAGAGAAACCAAAGTGAAGATTTGCAATGAAAACATATCATATAGGTATGCAGAAAGTTACAGATCAATTGCAGATCAGTTATGCAGAGAAACCAAAGTAAAGACTGCTCACCACCTTTATTTGTGCAGAAGTTACAGATCAATTGAATAAAGAGCTTAAAAGAAAAAAGAGAAAAAAGGTATGCAGAAAAAAAGAAGAAACAACAAAAGGATGTTTATCTTCAGTATGAAAGGCAAGTGAATACGAAAAAAACAATACAACCCCAAATTCTCACCAACTCTGCAGAGAGGATCCGATTTTGTAAACACGGTAATTCCAAGCTATCTCTGAGCTTGGTTGAATGATATACTTTCCTTCTTCAAAATTTACATCATATACAACCACCAATCCCATGTCCCGGTATGCAAAGAACGGTATTATGGCCCAAATATACCAACTGAGTTTTTATTATCTATTTTGAACACGGCTCAGGAAGTTTGTAAGATTGTTTTGCCTCTAGCTTCTGAGAGCCACTGCTGTCAGGCAAGAAGAGGTACCGAAACTTCGAGTCAAATGCGAGAACAGTGAAACCTCGAAATCCAAGAAGCCGCTGCTTCCTCTGTGAAGAAGAATCTCGGATGACTGCAGCTTGATCAGGAGCAAGGTGATGGCAGATCCAGTCTGCAAGCAGAGAGTCTTCAACAGCTCCCTTGGCATAGCTCTGCACTAACTTTGGAATAAGCAGTTTCCCTTTGTCATTTGTACCAACAGTCGCTTGAATATAGTCTCTCAAAGATTCCTGGAGCTCCTGCCTGACATTTGCGGCGGAGAAAATACGTACCTGTACCACAACAGGGTGACCCAGCAACGTGGATATAGATAACTTAGTTTTAGCAATCTTATAATCATCCAGCTCAAGTAACGATAAATTGGACAAATAAATCTGAAGGATGCCAGGTCTTGGTTAGGACAAGGATAGCACACTGAAGGACAAGCATGGCTCTAGTTTGTCCAACAACTTATTAAGTGACGAATTTGCTGAAGCACATGCACATCTTAACAGGAGTAAGATTAGCAGGCATACTTACAGCAGGAGAAGAGAACATTCCACAGCTAAGTCCAAACAACAAAAGGGGTTCAAATTCATCGATTGAGTACTTCTTGTGATCCTCAGTAATCTTGAACTTATTCAGAGCCAACATCAAAGACTGAAAGAAAGCAAAAGCAAAATAAGAGACAAGACAATAAAACCCAGAAGGCGAAGACTAGGATGGAGAAACAAGTTATACAAGTTGGGGCCGATGCACTGGAGTCTTCATCTTTAGAATCACAAACTCTATTTCCGCTGCACTGAAGGACTGGCCACCAACTGTGTAACAAGCCTGCACATTTCACACGATTAACAGTCCGATGTATGATCTTAGACTAACAGCAGAAGATATACTGCTCAAACCTTTTGCATTAGAGAAAAAAGCTTGATGTCATTTCGAGGTACTCCATATGCCAAATACGCCTAATAGATTCCGATAAAAAAATGCCACGGTAAGCAATTGGTGAGTGCATGACACTAAATGTTGAGGACAGATGCAATGAATTGAAACGAGTTACTATTTCCAATTATAAACAGAAATTTAATTCCTGTCCTTGTCTGCAAAGCCAGCATCTTAAGTAACCAGGTCATACTTACATGCATTATCAAAGCATTGTATAAGTTAATCCAAAAGGCTAGCCGCTGATCACGATTCATACAGCTAGGATTAACCTTTGACAACTGTTCCACTAGAAATCTGCAAAATATTGAGCAAAAAAAAATCCGTGCTTAAATATCAGTATATCACCTGCATTCAAAATAACAAACTAACACAGTACACATGGTCTAGAATGTAGGGCAGCAGCATTCGCACCATGCAAATTTAAAAAAAGCGAAGAATATGTTTGTTGTGAGATGTAGGGGATTCACTAATTCATAAGTTCTTGTTTGAATACGGAGGATTTGGATCAAAATCTTTCAATTCCAAGAGTGGCCTCCTCATCCAAACACCGACTAAGATACGCTAACTTTCATTGGCAGTTTTTAAGATCCAGGGTCAGAAATGTAACATAAACCACAAGAAGTGTGTCAAAATGGAGACGGAAAAGACTGTTCCACAATTCATTCACATACTAGCAAATTTCATGCTGACAGGAGTTCTTTAACGGCTCAACATGAGAGAGAAATAGACACAAATCAATTTTGAAACTAATTCCTTTACTGCAAGCGGACAAGAATAGAGCATCCTTTTGTTCCCCAATCCAAATCCCTAGACTGGTTCAATTGTCTGCGTATTCTTTTGGAGCATTAACAAGGTTAAACAAAATTTAAAAGTCTACATCGTATGCTAACAATTATGTATATATGCACTCCTCCTATATTAATAGAAATGGTGCACAGTCTCGTGCCCATTCGTTCAGAAAAAAATTATGTATATATGCACTAACATTTCTACAGTTTGTAAACATGTGATATATCTAGGAGGACTCATAGGTTTAGCCAAGGTTGCAGCAGCAAACCTGAACTTCTTTAGAGCTTCAGATGCATATTCGAGTTGATCCTTTCCAACAGACATCCAAGATACTTCAGCTGCTGAACGATAGTTTCCTATATCTCTTTGGGTTTCCTTTCCATTAACTTTATACGGATCAAAGTTCCTGACTTCCTTCATTGTCTCGTCGTTGTGGTTAGAATCAACTGAAGGACTCTGTAGCATTGAAGGCATTATGGATGAATCTGAGAAAGATGCTAATGTGGAGCCTGATAGACGCTCCGCTGAGGAAGATGAACAATCAGAAGATGCCTTCGGCGATATCTTCAAGGATTCAGATAAGCGTAGGAAAATGTTTCTCATGCAGCGAACCATCTCCTCGGAGAGCTCATTTGGGTCGCTCCAAAGATTCCCTCCTTTCATGCTAGTTATCTTTAGAATGGACTGTTCAAATGATAAGGCGTCAGGCTGCTCATCTTCATTGCCTTCATTTTCCACGGGGCATGATTCTTGCATCTGCTGAAAGATAAACAAATTATTGATACTCTAATATGTTCCAAAGTTGGTTCTTAAAACTATAGAGGTAAGGTAGGCATGAAAGGGACCTCTTCATCCCGGTGCTTTTCAAGAAGTCTATTCAAAGAAGAATCTCGGTGCTTTTCTAGCAGCCTGTTTAAAGAAACCATCTGTTGACCTTCAGGATCTTCTCCCATATCCTGGTCATCTTCAAGCTCAGGGAATAAGTCCTGTCTCGTTGACCTCATTGATTCATACCCTCCAAACTTCAAATCTCTCAACGATGATATGTGCTAAGATTGGTAATCAAGAAGCTGTCAGTGATTCCCATAGCAGAAAGAAGCTAACAAAAAATTTACTCAGATGATACTTACTTCTTCCCAAGTAAATGTGCAAGTTGACAATGATTGGTGCTCATCTGAGGATGTAGACGGCAAGCATCCCTGATTATTTTCAGCAAGTAACCTTTCATTCCTTTCGTGACAAAGCTGGTAGTACAGATCATTTAGCTCCTTTTCAAGCTTTGAAACGGTAGTCTCCAAGGAGGCGATGTTAATCAGTAGCTCCTGTGCCTGCAGAACGAAAGGTTCAACGAGCGTGGTCACTGAATGCATTAACTGGCTAGGAGATGACATCGAATAAGCACAAGGAAACATGTGAAATTAATCGCTAGAGTTATGCAAGCCCACACCTTGTGTGGAAGATTCATAGAAGACTTCAATAGAGGCGCAGCATTTTGTGTAACAGCATCCGCCAAAGCCACATGCAGATCGACCTCTTCTTCAAGCTGCCTCTGCAATTTCTTGACCTGCACGATTTTCACAGGGTTGGGGGTTGGTAAACCACATCAGGTGACACCATTACAGCATAGCGAGAAACAAATCACAGGGCTCAAGAGGATCACCCACCTCCTGCTCGAGCTGCGACCTGTACTGCCGCATCCTGTGGCTATCTTCCCACTTCCCACCACCATTGCTCTTACCTATCCCATCCTACAAACGAGTAAACCGAAAAAAACAATCACTGCCACATTAATTCGCTGGGAAGAAACCAAATCGAAGAACCAATAAGCAACAAGATTGTTGGTTGACTGAACAGACTGCTAATCAATGGGAAGTAGGGACAAAGGAGGTAAGGGACAGTTCATCCAGCATCCAGGTCCCCCCCATGAAGTGCGCAGGGGAGCACACAGTACGGCCGAAGCCGACAGTGCCCTCCGCACCACGGCACGCACTCGCGAGAGGACAACAACTTTGCTACGCTTGCCGTTAAAATCACGCTTTTGCCCACCGAAAAAAATTAACACTTATGCTGTTGTGAGAGAGAAACACTGTGCTATGACTGAAAAATTATGAATTTTGTGCAGGAAAACACTTTCAACTTTTTTCTCAGCAATGCCGTACCGAATCCAGACAAAAATTGTGATTGTGAATTTTGTGCAGGGTGAACGCCGCGCCAATTGGAGGAAGAAGCAAGTCAACCGAGAGCTTACCCCGGAGCAACTGGCCTCCGGCGCCGGCGCCAGAGCGTCGCCGTCCCCGGTCGCCAGATGTGCCGAGCGCTGCAGCGAGCGCGCTAAGCCGGCCGATCTCCGCCCGCCGCCGCCGGCAGCCACCTTCTGGATCAAGCCGCCCCTGGAACTGGAACACGCAGAAGCATGGCATTCGCACAGTCCAAGAAAGATTCAGCAGGACGAACAAGACAACAAACGCATCAGACCAAGGGGAGTCTCACTCACACCGGGGCAGCCGACACATCGTCGTCGTCGCCCGCGGCGGCGGCGGCGGCGGGCGAGATGGCGTCCTCGGCGCGCGCGCACGTCATGGGGGCCAAGGCGGCGCCGGGAGCCGGTCAGGCGAGGCCCTCTCGGTGGAAGCGGAGGCAATGCGCCTCCCGGCCCCTCGATCGGCAGATGAAGAAATCGCGGGGCGGGACAGAATTGACGGCTCAACGGGTCAGGGAGGTGACCGTGCCTGCTCCCTGCCGCGGCGTTGAATTTGGAAAGGGAAACGATGGAGATGACAAGGGCGTGTGGGCGCGCGACGGCTTTATGCTCATGGCGTGCGTGCGGGTGGGGGAGCAGTCGCTGCCACCGCGAGGCGATGGAGGAAGAGGGGAAGGGAGGTCGGAGGAGGAAGAGTAGTGGGGGGCGAGTAGGATGGTGAGTGACTGGATCCTGCTGGTGACGGGCTGACGGCTGCTCCATCCTAAACTGACAAGGACAGCAACGAAACTGACAAATGGGCCCTCCATCCTAAAATACAAAAAAAAAAAAATGTATCTTCCGAAGTCAAACTATGTTAAGTTTAAATAAATTATAAAATATAACGAAAATATTTACAACATCAAATTAACATCATTATTAGGTACGTTAAGTGTAGTTTTATAATTTATCTCTTTGATGTGATAGATGTTGCTTCGTTGCTACTTTTCTTTATAATTTAATTAAATTTTGGATAGTTTAATTTAGAACAAACTTAGATCATCTATATTTCATAGCGAAAGGAGTACCATAAAAGAATAGCACGACTAAGTCGATATAATGGATACATAATGATTCTTATACCAGGTAAGAAGGTAGCGTTTGTTGCTTCTATCACACTGCATGTCTCTTTGATTCCTCAATATATAAAAAAAATTACATAAATTAGCAATACATTATCATGCTACTCCCTCATCCAAAAAAAAATCCAGATTTTGGACAAGTCAAACATTCTTAAGTTTAACCAAAATTATAAAAAAATAGTATCAACATTTATATATATAAATAGATTTACCATGAAAAATATATTTCATAATTAATCTAATGATACTTATTTTTTATATTTGTCTTTTTATGTAGATTTGGTCAATTCTGAGATTGCTTGATTACCTGGGAATATTAATTACGGTATAGAAAATTGTTTTTTTATGCCATACAACTTTCTCTATTAGTTTTACAGCATGTTCTCTTGTTGGTTTCAGCCAGCCCAAACCAGCCAGCCAACAGTGTTTTCCTCTCACAAAAAACCAGCACCAGCCAGCCTAAACCAGCACCAGCACCAACCAGCGAACAGGCCCTTAGTACGCTTTTATGAAAAGTATTAGTTAAAGTGTAATTTTGAGTACCACGTTGATGTCTCTAACCACCTACCTTTGCAAAAAGATGGAATATGAGCTTATAGATGATGAGATACACAAATCGGTCTATAACAGAAATGATAGGACTTATACAATATTTAGAAAGGCACCTATAGGCCTTGTTCGCTGGGAGAAATTTGGAGGAATCTGGAGAAATTTGTAAGAGCGTGAACAGTGAATTTCAGTCGTGAACAGTAAATTCCGGCTGGTTTTTGCACCAACCGAACGGCGCCATAAACAACAATGATCTACGGTAGCTGATAATCATGACGCAAGTAATAACAATTTGTTTTGTTTGTGATCTGATCGAGAGTTTGGTATATACCTAGATCGATTCAGCCTCAAACACGCGGATAAATGACTGTTTTAGAGCATCTTCTCTACCTATCCCACTACATATCCCCAATCTCGACAGTGGAGGGCTAAAAATCCACTCCAGCAGGACTGCCTACCCCACCCAACAGATTTGTTGGCTATCCAAACTTCCCTCTCCACTACTCATTCCTGTTGGGTCAAGCAGACTAACCAAATCTTCTCTCCCACCCACGCACCTCTCTCTCTCTCTCTCTCTCTCTCTCTCTCTCTCTCACACGCGCCCTCGACGGTCTTCTTCCACGCCAGCGCTGTCCATCGGAAGGTCCCCGGAGCGGCGCCCCTCACCGGCGCGGGCCTCCTAGCGCGGCGGGCGCTCCCCCAGAGCAGCGCCCCCTTACTGGCGTGGGTCTCCCCGGAGCAGCGCCTCTCACCGGCGTGGGTCTTCGATCTCGGCGTGGAGGGCACTCCCCGGAGCAGCGCCCCTCACCGCACACGGCACCCCTCACCGACGCGGCGCCCCTCATCGGTGGCCTGTTTCCCACCGCCGTCGCCCCTCATCGTTGGCCCGTTTCCTGCCGCCGGCGCTCTGTTTCCCGCCGCCATCGGTTGCCTACGGCCTTTCCTTGCACATGTTGATGTACTGCAGCCCTCCCGCCGGTGGCCGACCCTTCCCCTTCTCTGCCTCCGACGACGATGGCTGAGTTTTCCATGGCGGCAAGGGCACGAAGAGGATGGCATGTTGGTCCCACATGTCATCCTCTGCTGGGATGGATTTGGGTAGCCTGTGTTTAGGTAATGTTGCTGGAGACAACAACAAAATATGGGTAGTATTAGAATGGGTAGCTACCCAAACAGACAAATAGGTAGTCTAATTTGGGTAGCATTGTTGAAGATGCTCTTAGGTGAGATGCCTGTCCTAGACATCTTTTTATCAACAAAAGAGCGTATGTTTTGAGTAGCACTCCTCAGGTTTCTAAGGGCGTATTTGGCCTACGCTGCAACCGCACACGCCACGACTACAGCTGCGCCGCCAATGCGGTGGTCCGCCACACAAATGGCGAGGTTGGGCGTCGAATTTGAACTGGCCGGTGCGAGGAGCCGCCGAACCTCTGGCGAAGTGCGGCGTCGGTGTTTGGCACTTGCGGTGTGCCGCACTTGGGGCACGACGACCTATGACAGGCGTTGGGCGCCACATCCCAACACGCCCTAAGTTCGATTCCGTAGGAGCTAAATTTCAGGTTAGAGTTAAAAAAATCTTTTTTACGAGGTTCATCCCAAGTATGGTCTTTGGTTGTTTTCGCATGAGTTACGGTACCACCGTGTATCAATAAAACAGTGGTTCGAGGGTTTTCTCGATTTGCATAAAAAAATCTTCTTCGTGATGCAATATCCGGAGGTGAGTCTTTTTTTTTCCACCGTCATAGTCCTTATACCTACCAACTTATGAACTCACTACTATATATATTTGCAAAATATTCACAAAACACCTGACCTCCCAAGTGCTTATATATATGTCACGCTTTTGCACACTGCCACTGCCAGCACGCTGAACAAAAGGAGGAACGTGGATCAAAAAATTCAAAGCAGATGAAAACGACTGGATCGAAAAGAAAGAAGAAAAAAAACCCGACTCGTGAAGCTCCTCGTCGAGCACTGGAGCCGTGGAACGGGAGCTTTCCGGCCGAGCTGACAGCTGAGCGGAGCTCGCGAGCCTGGCTTCAAGCTCGATTGCTCGAACGAACGTCGATGGAGAACGACAAATTTCTCGGCGCTCAAACGAGATCGGCTCGACGCTCGAGCTGGAACCTAGAAGGCTGGGCTCGCTTGACCTCAGCTCGCTGACAGGGCTCACCGAGTATCCCCGATGGATGGATAACCTTCCTTAGCTGCTCGTTGGTCGTTGCTCTCCCACTGGCCACTGCTCTCGTCTCGTTCTCGTCTCGCCTGCTGGAATCCGCGGAGGCTGCTCCCTCCCAACCGCAGCTGCTGCAAGTGCGATGTGACCTTCTTCCTCACTCCTCAGCACCTGTGTTCATCTTCTGCGTCCTTGCGCGCGCGCGCTCAATCCTCAGAATCTCAGGTGAGGTCTCGCGGCGACTCTCACTCACGCGCTTCCCATCTTCTCCGGTTTCAGTTCGCCCAGGCCGCCAGCGCCCAGCGACGAGCTGATTCTACTGCACGCGGCCACGCGTCATGCCTACGATGGCGGCGCCGGCGGTGTCTGCTCCAAGCTCGCTCCGCGTTTCGCGCCAGGGGATGATCGGGGGAGGTCCGCATTGTGCAGCTTTTCTTTTTTGGAAAAAAAAAATTGCTCTCTGTTTAATGTCAGGGAACTGTCTTTCAGTCTTTGCTGCTTAGAACTGAAAGTGTGTCCTTTTTTTACTTCTCAGAGATCTCACGCAACAGCTCATGTTGTTCGATGTAGGACAAGGCTGGGGAGAACGGTGCCGCTACGGTTCACGGCATCAGAGGGCTATCCGCGGCGCCACTGTTTCTGCCAGAGCTTCCATGGTAAGACACGCGGTGCTTGGGTGCGGTTGTGAGCTGTGTGTGACATGCGTGCGTGCTCCTCTGTTTTCCTGCGCTTTGCCTTGTAATTTTACTTGGTCAGGTGGTGTGCAGGTTAGTTTAGTTGCTAGTAGTAAACATGAGGAGTCATTATCTAAAAACAAGTAGTAAACATAAGGAATACCTTATGTGAACACCATGTTTTCGATATAAGCAGAGTTAAACTTCTTCAAGAAAAAAGGGAGTATCTTATGTGTTGCTAATTGCAGCCTTCAATTGGCTGAAAAAATAGGACAGTATGCCAGGCAGACACCTCTTTCTTTTTCTTTTTTTCTTTTGCGAGGAGACATCACCTCAGATTTCATTCAGATCATGACATACATATCTCAAATTTGAAATGTTAAAGCTGCTGAAGCTTGTAGTTCGTACAGTAAGTTACAAGTAACGGCATATAATTGTGATTGCAACTTACGACTGACAGCATAGAGTTTAATAGTTTATTGAGGCCAATATGCACATGCACATCACTCAAAATCTGAAGACCTTCAAATCAAAATGTGACGACAGTAAATTGGATTAATCACCCATGGGGGAGCTAGGGATCTGGGGATTTAGCCACACAGGGAGAGAATGACCTTGGTAAACGCTGAAGAAATGAGGTTGCGCAGGTTCAGTTTGGACATAGATTGAATTTGAAGGCATGAAATTCGTTTACCTCTAAAGAAAACTGAATCTGAATTCAAGCTAGTTTGGCTACAAAACATAGTTCTGACAGCCTCTAAATTCTGATGATCAAATTTGAAGTGTTAAAGCTGGAGAGGCCTGTAGTTTGTAGGTTACAAATAACTTGAACTGGTCCTACGGTTTGTTCACTTTTTTAAGCTGTATAATAATCAGGGAATCTGAAACCAACTAATAAAGGACTGCTTGTTTAAATCTCTCTGCAGAACATAACATGCTGTGCAAACCAGACACAAACGGCGCAACGCAAATCGTATTCAGGGCCAACCTCTCCACCATCAGGTTCAGTTAAAGGTAATGAAAGCAGCCACCTGCACAACCTTGTAGAATGTGTTCACCCAATTGCCCTAGCATCCTTGCAGAACTAAACTCCAGAGTACAGCAAAGTTAGGCCTGCATTGGCTCACTAGTCATAACTTCTCATTTCTTTCCCTGATGATCTCTCATTGCAGAGAAGGTGAAGCCGAGGCTTGATGATGGAGGCGTCGGGTTTCCGCCATTCCGGTTCGGTGGAGGTGGCGGCGGCGGTGGTGGCGGTGGCAGCAGCTCTTCTGGTGGGTTCATCCTCTTTGTGATCGTCTTGCTCCTGGATTACCTGAAGGAGTTTGAGAGGAACCTGCAGAATGGGCCACGGAGGGGTAGTGATTATGACGGTGGGTTTGCACCACAGTAGATTTCTCTCTCAATGGTTTGGAAAAGAACATAGAAGAGCATGTTTACAGAGACTTTCACTTCGGTGCTTGTTGGTGTAATCTTTCTGCTAGGTAATGTATCGAAAGACTGGGAATTTTTCTTGAGGAATGGTAATGAGAAGTAGCAAATTTTAGCCATTTGATTGAATGTGTAATGTTGAGATCGAACAACAAGAGCCATTGACACCTAAAACTTCAAAGGAACTCTTTAGGCTGGTTCCTAGGAAAAGCCATTTTCATGTAGTTTACCATGTCTGGATTGGCTGCGCCTGCGCTCCCAGTTCGAGTATACATTTCATTGAAAAAAAGGAATGTGCATTGGGCGGAGTGTGAGGGCAGGGCACGCACCCACTCTCATGACAAATGAAATTTGGGTTGATGATGGAGTAATTTCTGGCTATTAATGGCCTGATATGCGCCATGTTCGTTTGAGCTTGTTTGGCTGATAAGTCATGGCTGAAAGTACCGTTGACTGATTTGGTGTGAGGGAAAAATATTATTCGTTAGCTGAAAAAATACGGCTTATAAGCCAGACAAGCCCAAACGAACAGGACGATGATAAGATGTTAGTACGATCTAGATAAAGAGCTGGAGCAGAGTTGGATACAGACAATGATGGCTAAAGATCGAACTACCAACTATGTGATATGTTTTGTTTGTTATACAAAGCTACATGTTCCTATTTTATCTCATGGCGAATGAAATGTGTTTATAACAGAAAAATTTCTAGCTTCAATGGCCAATCAACGGATATGATATTAGTAGGACCTAGGGGACGAGCAAGAGAGATTATGAAATGTCTATGCTTGAAGTTCGAAGTCTCTATCACAGTGCTTGCCAAAAGGTGTGAAACTATGGCCATGTTTGGTTTTTTAGGCGCTCCTAAAATTCCTGTCACATCGAATGTTTGGACACGAGTATTAAATATCGACTAATTACGAAACCAATTGCACAACTTGCGACTAATTTACGAGATGAATCTTTTAAGCCTAATTAGTCCATGATTCGACAACGTGGTGCTACAGTAAACATGTGCTAATGACAAATTAATTAGGCTTAAAAAATCGTCTCACAAATTAGCCTTCATCTATGTAATTGGTTTTGTAATTAATCTATATTTAATGCTCCTTATTAGTATCTGAACATTCGATGTGACATGAATTTTAGGAGCGACTAAAGAACCAAACACCCCCTATGTAATCTATAACATTTTGCCTAAGGGCACTGATCAATCAGTAACGGTATTCAGGTGGGGGTCCCCCCGTTGACCTTAAAAAAAAATTTCAAGTCTCACATTATGAACTCTATTTCTGCAAAATAAGTTTTATGAACTTTTTTTGACAAAAAAAATATATACTTTTATAGAGAAGGTAGAGGACTAGAGATTCCTTATGAAAGTGCACTTAAGTCCGAATTTAGTTCTATTGCATATTGCTAAGTGTGCACAGGACACATATGAAATACCATACATGTTTGCCATCCAATTACAACTTTAATTCATAATGTTTTACTCAATAAACCATATCATAAATGTACATGATAGTCAATACCTGCTCTACACTTATCAAACATGGTAGCCATTTAGTTGTGTTTTCGTTCAATTCACCAAAAAACATTAAAAAATAGCTAGATGCACTTTCAATTAATATATAAAGTTATTTTTTTATAGTTGTGAGGTACAAAGTATTTTTCATAGAAGTCATTTTTTAATTTCACACGCGCGTCAAATGAAATAGGCATGGAGGGTACATAATTTTCAGGTATTAATGCCCGTTAACCTAATAAACCCCCGGACACATAGGGAGGCATGATGCTGATTTAATCAAGTCAACCACAATTAAAGTTGATTTTTTCCCTTTTTATGAAATCTACCGTACATGCACAAACGCTAACTATCGGGGTTATAATACCCCGGGTATCTCAAGACACCGATTAGTCAGCCGTTCGGACGGCCCACGACACACCAGCCAGTACATGCCCAAGCGACCGTGGCCCAACTAAGCTATGTAGGCCTGGGCCACGACCTCTTCTCTCTCCCTTCACCACATGTTGTCCAGCTCTGCATGACCTCTCCTCTGTCCTGGCCCCTGGAGGAACGGAGAAGGGTCGAGCTCTACCAAATACGACTGTCCTGACAGGGACAAGCACGCCTGTTCAGTCTGCTAGGATCGAAGGGACAACCGTCTCGAAGCAGATGCCATCCCTGCGCCACACCGCAGGCAAAACACCAACACTAGCAAACACACACCTTTATTCACCTTATATGAACACAAACGTAAAACTATCTCTACGAGCATTCTTGAAAGATTAAGTTGCTAGGTCTTGGAGTTGACGAAATTTTAGATCAAAGGTTATGTAATATACCGCACTCTAGCCTTCAAAATTTGCATGGAAACATAATGGATTCTAGGTGAAAAACAATTTTGCATTAAATAATTTCTATTTATTAATTAATTACTATTAATCATGTTGATGATAACATTTGATTAAGAAATAAAGTGAATAGTCCTACATCTTTTATGTTCTCTATTAATATGTCATAAATTTTTAAATGCACTATATTATATATATAAGAGATGGATTATTTCTTTTTCCACGATCTCACGAGGACAGCTAACTACTTATTAGACTATCCTGGGTGTCGATGGCCTACAATAAGGTATTCATTACCAAATCTTCTCTTTATTGAAAATAATCAATATGGGCAGAGTTATATTGCGCGACCTGTTGCGCGCTCTGCGAGCGCGCGAAGCACGCGACGTTAAGGTCTTCATATCAAATCTTGTCTTTATTGAAAATAATCAATATGGGTAGAGTTATTGCGCGACTTGTTGTGCGCTCTGGGAGCGCGCAAAGCGCGTGACGTTAAGGTCTTCATATCAAATCTTTTTTTTATTGAAAATAATCAATATAGGCAGAGTTATTGCACGACCTGTTGTACGCTAGGAGCCCTTCCACCGTCTTCTTCCTTGAGGCGTGACTCCTTCCACCGTCTGGCACGCCCTGCCTCTCCCACTCCCGTCTCCTTCCCCACTGCCCTCGAGTGCCTCGCCGCCGGCCACGCCGCCCACCTCCCGCCGGTGCCCCTCAACCCCGCCCTCCCCTAACCTCTGCCGCGACCTTCCTCCGCCGCATCCTCGCCCCGCCCTCGCCTTCGCCCCCATCCCCACCACCTACGGCTGCCGTGCGAGCCGCTTTGCTACCCGCCCCGACCCATTGACCCCATCCACCCTATTCACAGCACCTCGCCTCCTAGCACCATCGTGACATCCCAGCTATCAGCCCCGTCTGTCCAACTGTCCTCCATTGCCTCGGTCACTGTCTTCAACCCGCCATCTCCCGTCGTGTCGCGACCTCACTTTATATACTAAATTTTCTCTCAATCAATAATCAGCCTATTCGCTTGGTCATATTTGATTTATAAACCATAATTTATCATATAATAAATAATATTTTTCTCTCAGACTCCGAACTAACCCATGTTATGAATATCGACCGATAAGGGGCGGGGGCACACGGGCGGGGGCACACAACCAGTCCGCTGGAACACACAGCATAGAAAAGTGTCATTTCGCGGCATCAATGCTCGCCCCCACTCTCCAGGCCAGGTTTAGATCACCTCCAAATTTCAAAGTTTTTTCACTCTCTTTCATCACCTCAAGTTTTGGATGTATACATGGAGCATTAAATATAGGTAAAAAAAAACTAATTACACAGTTTGATTGTAAATTACGAGATGGATCTTTTGAGCCTAGTTAGTTCATGATCGAACAAAGTTTATCAAATACAAATAAAATATGATATAATGATATCGCGGTTGCAAAAATTTGCCTCTCAACAAGGCCCCAGTCAGCTGGTCACGGTTCCCGACGGCGGAGGGGGCGAATCAGCCGCCGTTACCCACGTCGCCCCTTTCCACCCCACCCGTCTGCCAGGTAGGTCCAGCCAGCAGGTCTTCCCACCAGTCAGTGGAACGCGCAGCGTTCGCCGCGCCAGTCACGCAGCTGGGCTCACCAGTGACCACCCGTCACCTGCTCACCGCGCCTCTCCTTTTGTGCCCGAGCACTGGTGCGCCTCGGCCTCGGCTGACCCGTCGTCCCTTCCAAGTTCCACCTCCTCCGCCTCCCTCCCTCCCCTGTCCCCTCTCCCCCTTCTCACACGCGCACAGTGACTGTCTCCTCCTCGTGTTCTCCGAGGCGGAGCAAAAACCCTCCCTCCCCCACCGTGCGCTAGGGTTTTAGCGCGACCGCGACGGGAGCGTCACGGCGGCCTAGGAGACGGGCGGTGGACGCAGCCGAGACGGGGGTCTTCACCGGCGCGTACTGGTAAGTGGCGGGTTTGATTGGGCCCACGGAAAGGGCTGCGGCCGTGTCTGTGCAATGCGGGTGGGGCTCCGGCTTCCGGCGATCGGGGATTGACGCGAGCCGTCCCTGGGAATGGGGGTTCTGGTTGCGCCGCGGCGGTGTGGCTTTTGCCCCCTTTGTCGAGGGTTTTGATGGGTTTTTTCTCGGGGGGAAATGATTATTGAGGGCGGTGCAGCGCATGTTTGTGGTGCTGGGAGATTGATCGCGTTGATTTGGAGGCGTTTCGCCTGAGTTTAGTTTGTCATGTGTCCTTTGTTTGATTATTTCTCGATTTATTTGACCGCAGCTGTGAAAACAATCGGCCCTTTCTACTACAACCGCATAATCCTGCACCGCGAGCAGCTCTCTGCCGGCAAGCGCCACGCTTGCTCCGCCTGATCTCCCGCTCGCGTCGGGTCCAGGGAGGAGGCGGGGAGATGGCGGGATCCGCGTGACGAGGCTCCGCTTGATTTCCGGCTCGGGTTGGCTCAGGAGCGGGGAGCTCCGGCGAGGTCAGCTGTGCTGATAACCTCCTGCATTTCCACTTGTCCTGGCACAAGTGATTTGTGTGTTTAGTAGTCGTCTTGTTGTTTTAATGACGGTAAAGTGCCACTCTTTGTGAAGTTTCGTTGTTGAATTAATGTGTCCTATCAAAATGTCCTCAGGCTCTGGGGATTTTGTTAAGCAGTATTTGTTCTTAGAGCAATTGCCGTCACCATAGGCTAGAACATCTGTGCATGTAGATTGTCAGCTATGAGTAAAACTAGCAAAATAACTGAATAGGGTAAAAGAAACCATACTGACGTGACCCTGTTTCCTAGTGGGGTTTCCTACTGTACGATCCTTAGCATCTCAACCATCTTTTTCAACAGGTCGCTAGAGTAGTTAAACACTGGGTTTTGCTGGATTTGCCTTGGCATTGGTTTATCTTGCCAGTCAATGACCATTTCTGTGTATACATGTGCATGCTCAGTCTGTGGTCACTCGCCTATTTGTTTTCTCCATGACCGTGATTTGTGATTTCTCTTAGTACACTGTTATTGTGGCTTTTCAGGTAAGTGTACTTACTGTTTGTGGATAGAGTACGGAGTAGTAAAGGCAGAGATAGACTGGACTCACCCTCTGAAGAGGCTCTTAGTTTTTGTGTTTATTTCTGCTTAAACCAAATGAATCTGCCATACTCTGTTATATACAGTCAGCTGTTACAACATTGATTAACAAATTGCTATTCTTCTCAACTTAAGCAATGAGCTCAAACAAACTTGAACAAACTCTCAACTAGGACAAGGTTAGCCACTGGTGGGCGCCTGCTATTGCTTCTTGTGACGTGAGTAGATCTTGCTGATGATGTTGTCCACAACATATAAATTGTCCATGCCAGTTGTAGTTGCATAGCATGAGCTCCAAAGGACCTGGCAAATCACTTTGTAGCAATGACTACATTAACTTGAAAAGATGTGATGTGATTGATGCTTGACTTCCATGTCAAGTCCTTTGAAATCAAATTAGTGTCTTGTTACATGCCATCCTGTTCAGCTAACACCAATTTCAGTACTCTTACATCTCATGTGAATGTGACATGCATTATTTTTTCCTTTATGTTTTAACCTTGTACACTTGTCCTCTAAAATAGCCAGCTGGTTGTTTGGCTGTCTTTCTTTTCACCCTATCTCGTGAAGTTGCCTCGTTCTCTTACGCAACTGAGTAACCTTAAGCACTGTTTTCTTGTAAAAGATAGCTTTGGTATTACATGGAAGCCTGTGACTGAAAGTCTAGCATACTCATTTGGTTTTGGCATCTCACAGGACATTCCTGATAGCAGCCTTGATAAGCAGGTCGTAGATGTCATTTAATTTCTTGGTTTCAGAGCAAAAAATCTGGCACTGTTGAATTTACAATACTACATAGATAGGTTAGTTATGAGTATTTTTGCAGTTTACACTTTATGTGTTTCTCTGCAATCTGTTTGGAGAATGTTATTTGTGAGTTAATACTTTATTTACAGTTTAAGGCTTTAGGGAATTCATATGACTCTGTATAAGCAGAGAAGTGAGCATCTTTACTTTGAACTGTATGGTAAACATCACTTCTGTGCTTATGCCTTCTTGCTTGTTGGGTATAATATACTTGTTTTACAATATATTATCCCAAGAGCAGCGAAATGGGTCATTTGTCATATCATTTTCCTTCATTGCCTTTGTTTTTAATTGTTTACCCTTATGTATGCAGTACTAGATCATATGCATGATGTTATTTTATTATTTAAGTTAGCAGATGAGCTTAAAGAGCTACTGCCCTCAAAAGAAAATCTTTAAGAACCACCATGGTACTACCAAACATCACTTGCCAAAGTCTTCTGACTGCCAGTTGCCAACACGGTTGGCCAGCACTTTTTTGTACCTGCTCCTCAGCCCTGGGGAGGAGCATGGAGGTGGCGGGTTTCGCACGGGAGGCGTCCGTGGCGGTGAGGGAGGTGGCTGTGTGGTGTCCGGCGAGGGAGTGTGGGAGCTCGGGTCTAGGAGCGGCGAGGGAGCGAGGATCTGGGAGCGGTGGAAAGTTGCCGAACAACGGAGAATAAGGGGAGTATAACGGATGGTGGTTTGGGAAAGAGGGCACAAAGGTCTTTTTACACTTAAAATCAACATAATAATCAGGATTGCCAAACACTTTGATTTTATGTACTGTAGATTTTTTTGACTGCAGATTATCTGCAAAATTAGATTAGATTTTAATCAATTCTTATATAAGTAGTTCCAAACAGGCCATTAGTTTGTTCATTGTTGGTATTCTCGCTACCTTCTTCTCTGTCTTGCGAACTGTGTACCTGACACCTTTTATCCATTCGTCGGTTGCAGAGAAATGGAGGAGGATCACTCGGCGATACTAGTCTCTGAAGGTGCTATTAAAAGCATCAAACTTAGCCTCTCTACCGGAGAAGAGATAGTGAGTTCTACAAATCTGATGCTTTTACCAGTAATTCTAGCATACCGAGATGCTTTTTCTCCAATGATGACTAATTTTTTTTGGGTTTCTGAAGTGCACCTACTCGGTAAACGAGTGTCCAGTGACCCACCCTAGCCAGCTTGGAAATCCATTCCTTGGGTTGCCCCTTGAAGCTGGGAAATGTGAATCATGTGGGGCGTCTGAAAATGACAAATGCGAAGGTACACACTGGTTTTTTGTTCGTAACACTTTCATACATTGTGCTCTAGAGAGCGACTTAGCGAGGACACCTTTTTCCTTTGTTAACAATTAAGTTTCTCTGCATATGTAGGGCATTTTGGGTACATTGAGCTACCTGTACCCATATACCATCCCTGCCATGTCAGTGAACTGAGGCAACTATTGAGCTTGATATGTCTGAAATGCCTTCGAATCAAGAAAGGGAAGGTACTTGTAAACCCAACTGCATAACCTTACTTTGTTGTTTTCCTATACTGGTTTTCCTGAACCATATGTGTTTTTACACTGATGCTTCACCTTGGGTTACTATTTATGAAATTTTTTCTACCTTTGCAGGTGAAACAAAGTAATGGAAAAGGAAATGTGTCAGCAACATTGTGCTCTTATTGCCGGGTACATGCCAGCATTCTTCTTTTTTCTTCTGGCTTGAAGTAAGAGCAAATAGATACATTGGACTAGTTACTGGTATATGTAGGGATATGGAAGTAAATGCCTAAGCTAAAATAAAGTATACCGGTGTTCAAATTCAACCACCTTCCTCTGTGGTCTGAATGATTCATGAGTTGTTATTTAAGACAATGAAGACATAACAGGATATACTGAGTCAGTGCTTTAGGGAGGTGTCATTTCACACTGAAATTTATTAAAATGCAACTAATCTAGTAATATATCCTTCATAAGTGACTTCAGTATAGCTGACAAATATAGCATTAGCATTGAATTCAGTCATATGTCCTTGTTCATTAGTGGATGGCTTCCTAATTTGCATCCTTGCTTGCTGCTGGTCTGGTGGCAGTGCTGACACTAAACCTGTGTTGGCTGGATGAGTGCCCACTCATGTTTCCTGATCATCCCAGAACTTGTTGTTTATAGGATATTCCAGCTCTGTCTGTGAAGGAAGTCAAGACAGCAGATGGTTGGATTCGTTTAGAGTTGAGAGCACCTCATAAGAGACACATGACAGAACGTTCATGGAACTTTCTTGATAAATATGGATTTCATCATGGTGGATGTTCTCAAGTTAGGACACTGCTTCCAGAAGAGGTGATATTCTCATGAGTCATGAGTTATGTTTTCAAGAGATTTGTTTTGGTAGCTTTGATGAATTCCAGGTTGTTTGAATAACCCACTGATTCATCGTTATTTATTAGGCTCTGAATATATTGAAGAAGGTTCCTGATGATACTAGGAGAAAGCTAGCTGCACGGGGATACATTGTTCAGACTGGGTATGTGATGAAGTACCTTCCAGTACCTCCGAACTGTCTATATATTCCAGAGTTCACCGATGGGCAGAGCATCATGTCATATGTGAGTTTTCTAGTACACGTATCTGGTAGTTTCTTCTTCTACTTCTTGTTGAGTCCTATCTAATGTCCTGATTTACTTGCTTCTCATATCAGGACATTTCAATAGCTTTGTTGAAGAAGGTTCTTCAGAAGATAGAACAAATTAAAAGATCAAGATCTGGTTCCCCAAACTTTGAATCACATGATCTTGAATCATGCGATTTGCAGCTTGCGATTGGCCAGTACATACGTCTAAGGGGCACTACAAGGGTATGTGGAAAACTAGATAATTTAAACCTGTTTACATGGTGCATGGAAAACACAGTCACAATTTGTTTATAACCACTAGAATTACAGAAAGCCCTGCACCTTTGCAGTAGCTTATTGTGCTTTGATCTGTTATATAGTGCACACTGGCATTTATTTCTGATCAATCTTTTTATTTCTGACTGAGTTGTTTTTTGTATTCTCCACGATAACTTTTGCATCTTATTTTGAAGGGCCCTCAAGACAACACCAAGCGGTTTACTGTTGGCAGTGCTGATTCAGCTGCATTGTCAACAAAACAGTGGTTAGAAAAGATGCGGACGCTGTTTATCAGCAAAGGGTCAGGTTTTTCATCTCGCAGCGTTCTGACAGGAGACCCATATATTGGGCTAGGTGTAGTAGGGCTTCCTTCTGAAGTTGCTAAGAGGATGACCTTTGAAGAACAGGTCACTGACATAAACATTAACAGATTGCAAGAGGTGGTAGACAAGGGACTCTGCTTGACCTACAGAGATGGTCAAGCAACATATGCCATAACTGTTGGATCAAAAGGGCACACAACACTTAAAGTTGGTCAAACTATCAGTAGGAGAATTGTTGATGGGGATGTTGTGTTCCTCAATAGGCCGCCCAGCACACATAAGCATTCTCTTCAAGCTTTCTACGCATATGTGCATGATGATCATACGGTAAAAATCAATCCTCTCATGTGTGGCCCCTTTTCTGCTGACTTTGATGGTGATTGCGTGCATATATATTATCCGCAATCGCTTGCTGCAAAAGCTGAAGCCTTGGAGCTTTTTAGTGTTGAGAGACAACTGATTAGTTCCCACAGTGGGAAGGTTAACCTCCAGCTAGGTAACGACTGTTTGGTAGCTATGAAGTTCATGTCTCACAGAACGATGTTACACAAGGAACTAGCAAACCAGCTGGCAATGTTTGTGCCATTTTCACTTCTGGCCCCTGCTGTAATGAAGCCAATTCCGTCTTGGACAATCACACAGATAGTGCAAGGTGCGATACCAGCTAAATTGACTTGCCAAGGGGACACACACTTGGTTAGGGACAGCACAATCATAAAGCTGGATCTTGACAAAGAATCTGTTCAGGACTCATTCCCAGATTTGGTGTCCTCCATCCTTCGTGAGAAGGGTCCAAGAGAGGCTCTGCAATTTCTGAATGTGCTGGAGCCATTGTTGATGGAGTTTTTACTTCTCGACGGTTTGAGTATAAGCCTGCGGGATTTTAATGTTCCCAAGGCTCTATTGGAGGAGGCACAAAAGGACATTCAGAATCAGTCCCTTATTCTTGAGCAGTCAAGGTGTTCTACAAGTCAATTCGTAGAATTACGAGTCGAAAACAATTTGAAAAGTGTCAAGCAACAGATTTCGGAATATGTTGGGAAATTCTCTGACCTTGGGTTGCTTATTGATCTGAAAAAGGAAGCCTCAATGGCAAAAGTAGTACAACAGGTTGGTTTTGTTGGCTTGCAACTGTACCGCGAAGGTAAGTTGTATTCAAGGCGCTTGGTAGAGGACTGCTTTTCGAACTTTGTGAATAAACACTCGGCCATTGGAGATGAGTATCCTCCAGAAGCTTTTGGCCTCGTGCAAAGTTCATATTTTCATGGTCTGAATCCGTATGAAGAGCTGGTACATGCTATATGTACTAGAGAAACTATGATCCGCTCCTCTAGAGGGCTGTCAGAACCTGGAACTTTGTTTAAGAATTTAATGGCCATCTTGAGGGATGTAGTTATATGTTATGATGGAACTGTGAGAAACATTTGTAGCAATTCCATCATTCAACTTAAGTATGGGGAAGATGATGAAGCTGATTCTTCAAGTGCTGTACCTCCTGGTGAACCTGTGGGTGTCTTAGCTGCCACAGCTATATCGAACCCTGCATACAAGGCTGTCTTGGATTCCTCCCAAAGTAACAATGCTTCTTGGGAGTCAATGAAGGTAGTAACGTTATAAATATTTCTTGGCATTTAATCAAGGGGCCTTGTTACTGTTTAACAAGTTTATTTTATTATTACCATAACAGGAAATTCTTCAGACAAGAACTTCCTATAAAAATGATGTGAAAGATAGGAAAGTTGTCCTGTTCCTGAGTGACTGCTCTTGTGCTAAGAAGTTCTGCAAGGAAAGGGCTGCACTTGCAGTACAGAGTTGTCTTAAGAGAGTCACACTTGGGGATTGTGCTACTGATATCTGCATTGAGTAAGTTACCATAAATGAAATCCTCAAATGTCATTGCCACCTTGCCCCCTTCTTTTTGTGGATTGCTCTGAGATCCCGTCTTATAGCTAGTAAAAGCCAGTTAACCAGTTTTTCTCTAGATAAACTCTGATTCTCCTTTCTGTTTGATCGTTTAATGATCATATATTCATGTTCCTTGTAATTAGATGCTTATTTTCCATGTTTGAGTAAGCAGCATTTTTTAGCTTCCTTAATCATCTGATTTCCCTGTCAGATTGTGCAATGCTATGCAAGTTGACAGATCAGTTTAGCACTTGGTTGTTTACATATGCAATTGGGTCAGACATGCCTACTTACTGAAGCAGCAATTGTTATGAGAAAACTTAGCAAGCTTTCTAATCAAAGTGGTTAAATGCATGGTCTGACCATTCTTAAAGTGAGAATAGATGCAGGATGCTTTTGTGCAGATTTTGTGCTTGTTTCTTTGGGGTTAACCACAAATATGTTGTTTTTCATTTTCAGGCATCAGAAGCAAATAAATTTAGATGGAACATCTGAAGCTGCCCCAACTCTTGTAGGTCATATTCATCTGGACAAGGTATAATGGTATATGATTTATACTGCCTTTTTTTTGCATAAACTGTTTCTGTAAAAAAAATATGCATAACTTTTTTTGCAGGGACATTTAGAAAGGATAAACATTAGTATTCAAGACATTCTCCAAAAATGCCAAGAAGTTTCTGGGAGATATGGAAAGAAGAAAGGACACCTTTGCCATCTCTTAAAAAAAATTACTTTTGCTACTGGGTAACCTTTTCTTAGTTTCCTACTATAATCCTGTGAGCTTTCATTTGTTCAACCCTAAATATCACATACATGATTTGTTTAGATATGCCTCCGGTTATAGTGTTAGTACCAGGCTACCTGCTATCGATGTTGGCGATGCTGCACAGCTGCAGTGCTACCAAATTTTGTCAGATTAATCTTCTGGGCAATTTTTAGTCCATGAAACTCATTGGGGGCATCATAGTCAAGGGTCCTGAGTTGGAGGCCTAGCATTGGGGGAGGGAGGGAGGGAGGGAACGTGTTCTTGATGAGAGGTGTGATCGTACTTCAGATTTGTTACCAAGTCCCACATGGAGGCCTAAATTCAAATTTTCGGTGTTGTAGAATGACATATAATCAAGCTAGAAAGGTATGCTCGTGTAGTACACGAGATCAAAAATAATTTCAGTCTGCCTTGAAAACTAGAGCCATCTCATTTTTGGACAAGCCGACAAAGAGATCAAAACTCCAATGGATTCGCTAGACTACAGCTGACATGAAAGAAAGGGGAAGTGATACAATAGCAACTTAGTGTTAGCAGCATGAAAATTGGACATTTACTTTTTCTTTTGTTAGTTGGGTGTGAGTTTGTCTATTCTGTAGCATTACAAGGGCATGCTTATCAGCTTAAGTTATGCTTAAATTTGAAAGGAATCATCTTTTGCTAGTTGCATTATACATTTATTAATGTTATTTGCTTCCTAGTACGTTTAATGAGTGGGTTTGATGTTGTTTGTATCAAAGAGTTAATACTAAGAAGGGAGGCAGTGTTAGTTAATGTATTGTCAGGGTTTTTGTCTGGGGACATGCGCATTGGGAATCAATATATTGTTATATCAATAAGTATTACTGTCTTTTCACTGTAACTTTTTTTATGACTCATTTCTGTTTATTTGACATGATCCTTACATTATTTACATTAGTTATAGTTGATCTAAAAGGTTTCAATTTAATCCTTTGCAGTGATTGTTCATTCACTCAGATGCCAATCGATGGAAAGCTACATAAGGTTCCATGTGTGCAGTTCTCTTTCTCTGATGACAACACTGTATTATCTGAGTCTGTTGAGAGAGCAGTGAATGTGATAGCTGACTCTGTCTGCTCAGTGCTTTTAGATATAATTATTAAAGGTATAGTGAGTTGTACAAACTAAGCTTCTTCCTTTATAATTTCATTTACTGGATAGCTTCAAATTTCACTTCATCCATTCAAATAAAAGTTTACTGTTCCTATCTTATTGAGAGGACTGCTGCGGGCCTAATTTTTATTTCACAATAGTGGCACATATGTAGAGTAGGGAGGTTGTACAGTGGATACCTGTGATGGCAAGACATTAAGCTTATCTTGGTTGAACTCCCATCATTCCCAATGGACCATGGTTCCTTATTTCTGCTGATGCGGGATCATTGGTGGAACATCAGCTTGGTCTTGTATCTCCATAAATAACTATCTTGGCTGAAGGGAAATTGTTTCCAATAGATAGGATCTTTATTTCTAGTCCTGTGGCCCCCATTTCTAGCGTTTAGAACTTTGGCTTTTATCCTTAGGCCCAGTTTATGTTTATGACTTATGGGGTATACAGGCAGCAGGCAGAATCGACAAACTGGGCAGAATTTGTCTAGAGTATTATGCAGCAGAAACACTTGTTTTTCCTTGTCAGAACGTAGTACTATGAGTTCTGATCTCAGCAGAACTTTGGCTTCTGATGCCTACTCTGTATTTATCAACTCAGATACACTGAACATACTTCAGTATTCGTTTGAGATGTATATGCACCCATCTACCAAATAGATGTTTTCCATTTTGCTGATATAATAGTCAATCTTTCTCTATATTAAAATTAATATAGTGAATGTGGATGATACACATTTGGACTTATATCAAAATATTTACTTCCTGGCACCTTTGAGTTTATCAGGAAAAATATTACATTCACTATCTGCAATGCTAGCTGTGACTAAAATGTTACACTATTCTGGGTTTTACTATTTTTACGCTTGAGGTCGTACATGTTCTTTTGTCAACTCATTGATGATCCTAATTCACCATTAGGTGTTCCCTAATGAAGGGAATTGACCATCTTAATGGTTTGGTGTTCATTTGTTCTGTAGGTGATCCTCGAATTCAAGCGGCAAAAGTTATCTGGGTTGAATCAGATGCAACCTCTTGGGTAAAAAACACACGGAAGGTATCAAAGGGTGAGCCGGCGTTAGAAATCATTGTTGAAAAAGATGATGCTGTAAGCAATGGTGATGCCTGGAGGACAACAATTGATGCCTGCTTACCTGTACTTGACCTCATTGACACACGGAGGTCTATTCCATATGGCATTCAGCAAGTGAGGGAACTTATTGGCATCTCATGTGCCTTCGATCAAGTTGTGCAGGTTTGTCAACCAAGCATGTTTTAATATTAATGGTTAAGTCAGCAGTTTTGACTGCAGCAACACCACAGGGACATTTATTCCCCACCCAAGGACTTCTTGGGATTGGTAGATCTTGCCTTGTTTAGGATCAGTGTCTATTCTAGTTTGATTGGGTTAATTAGATATTCTGAGGTGTATCGTGACTCGCATTTTATTTTGCATCCAGTTGGCTCGTGTTGTATAATACTTATTACAGTGAGAGTACTTTTCTTATTCATCTTGCATCATTTGCATTGATGTTCTTATGCTTGCTTATTTGTTCAGCGGCTTTCAATGACTGTAAAAATGGTTAATAAAGGAGTTCTCAAGGACCATTTGATACTTGTGGCAAACAGCATGACGTGCACTGGAAGTTTGATTGGGTTCAACATTGCTGGCTACAAGGCAACTTTCCGTTCGTTAAAAGTTCAAGTGCCTTTCACCGAGTCCACTTTGTTTGTAAGTTTGTACTTGAAATATCTTGTCCATAATTTCTTACATGTCATTGGCGCTTTGTACTCAAATAACATATTCTGTTTTTGTAGACCCCTATGAAATGCTTTGAGAAGGCTGCAGAAAAATGCGATTCTGATTCATTGGGATGTGTGGTCTCATCATCCTCATGGGGCAAGCATGCAGCAGTTGGTACTGGCTCATCTTTTCAAATTCTCTGGAATGAAAATCAGGTATGCTTATCTTATCAACTGGAGCTTATTGCTTATGTATCACTATATCAGTAGCAAATGTTGAGCCTATCTTATCAGGCCAGACTATTTTTGGTGTCACCAGAAAGCTCTTCTTTTGGTTGATATGATCTAACCATATAGGTTTTAAAATGGTTAATTTCTTTGTTGCAGCTGAAAAGCAACAAGGAGTATGGTGATGGGCTGTATGATTTCTTAGCGTTGGTCAGAACCGACCAAGAAAAGACAGGGTACATGTTCTTGGATGATGTTGACTACCTTGTAGAAGAGAATGCAGTAGATGACATGTGCTTATCTCCTGAGCCTGATGGGACCCTTGGTAAGCCCACCTTTGAGGATAATTTCGAAGAGCAAAATATTCAGAAAGGCAGCTCATGGGAAAATGGCACAACAATGAACTCAAGTTGGGAACAAAATGCTAGTGCTGCGAATGATTCTGGTGACTGGGGAGGCTGGGGTAATGGAGTTGGAGCTGCTGCAAAGCCAGCAGATCAAGATGGCTGGAGTAGTGGAGGTGGAGCGGCTGCAAAGCCAACAGATCAAGATAATTCATGGGAAGTGCATGCTAAGGTGCAGGACAATTCCACTGATTGGGGAGGCTGGAGCACTGAGAAGCCAACAGGCGAGGCAACTGTATCTGCACAACCAGCTGAAATGGATACTTGGGCTGATAAGGGTGCTAAAATGGATTCAGATGCAGGTGATGATAATTGGGAGAAGTCCAGCACTCCTGAGGCATCAAATAAAAATGACCCATGGGGCAAATCAGAAAATACATGGGACAAAAGAAAAGGAGATGGAGGTGATGGTGCCTGGGAGAAGAAGTCTGATGATGGCCATGGCAATTGGGAGCATCCCAGCAACTGGAATGGGCAGAGTTTGAATGTAGATCAGGACACGTGGGGAAATGCCAGGGGCAAAAAGAAGGCAGATGGTAACTGCCAATGGGAGGAGCAGCCAAGCACTTACAAACGGAAGAAGACAAATGCTGATCATGATTCCTCCTATAACAATGTGATGCCACCACCAGGCAATGCTTGGAATGCTGGAGATGGAATTGGAAGACCAAATGCCAAGTCTAATGCAGGATCCAGTTGGGGTGAGAAAGATAAGATGGAGTCTGATGAGCATCTGAAAGTCCCAAAAGAATCAGACACATGGAATACAGGGAAATCAAATGAAAGTCCATGGGATAACACTAATGCACTACAGGATTCCTGGGTTACCAGTGCAACTCGCAATAACAACACTCAGGATGGTTCATGGGACAAAGTAGTAGCTATAAAGGATCCTGATTCACAGCAAGATTCATGGAGTAATGTGACAATCCAGAAGAATGATGCACAGAATGATTCTTGGGACAATGTAGCAGATAAGGCCCCAAATTTTGCCGCAGAAGACTCCTGGGGTAATCTGGCTGCAACACCAGTGGGCAATTCAGATGCTAAGCAATCAGATTCTTGGGATGGCTGGAATGCTGTGCCTGCTGAGAACTCACAAGGTACTGTTCAATGGAAAGAGACAACTGATTCTGGTAACAAGGACTGGAAAGCAGATGGTTGGGGTGCCAAATCTGGTAACTGGAGCAGCCAAAGAAACAATCCTGGGAGACCCCCAAGGAGACCGGATGAGAGGGGTCCACCTCCACCAAGACAACGGTTTGAACTAACAATAGAGGAGAAGAACATTCTTCTAGAAGTTGAACCCATAATATTCTGTGTGAGAAGGATCTTCCGTGAAGCATGGTAAATTAATTCACAATCGCTTGCTGATTTTACATGCTTCTTAGTACTTGAAGTTTCTTTAATTAAACAATGAAAAATGTGACTGATGTTTTACATGAAAGAATGCGATATGCAAGACAGCTATATTGTTTTATGCAATGATAATTTTGAATTCTAATTTTATCTATCTTAATTTTGTCAGTGATGGTGTGAGGCTCAAGCCAGAAGACGAAAAGTTTATCCAGGAGAGAGTTCTCGAGCACCACCCGGAAAAGCAATCCAAGGTGTCTGGTGAAATCGACCATATAATGGTATGGTTTTACATTTGACTTTTGGGTTCTGCATTTCGTCACGTGATCATCCATCAAAGATTCCATGGCGAAAATAGGTCTTATTTTGGAGCTTGGTTTGTAATTGCCTTGCTTTGACAGGTCAACAAGCATCATACTTTCCAGGACACTCGGTGCTTTTTCGTGGTCTCCACAGATGGATCCCAAGCAGATTTCTCCTACTTGAAGTGCCTGGAGAATTTTGTGAGGAAGAACTACACGGAGGATGTCGACTCATTCTGCATGAAATACTTAAGGCCACGTCGCAGGCAAGCACCACCACCTGATGTTGGGACAGCACCAGGCGCTCTGACTGAGGTTACACTGTCTACCGCAGCTGAGACCGAGCAAGGCACTCCAGCCCCTCCAGCAGAGGTTCCACAAGAGACTCTGGGTTCTCCTGCAGTGGCTCAGGAAGGATCTCACAATCCCAGGACAGAACCAACCGACGATACTGAGCTTCTAGGAAAGGAGCCCGATCTGACTCCAGCTTCTCCAGCTGCAGCACCACAAGAGGCTCCTGAGCCAGACCCAACCGACGATACCGGGCTTCTAGGAAAGGAAGCCAAGCCTGATCTGACTCCATCTTCTCCAGGTGAGGCTATGCAAGTGACTGCGGACCCAGACTCAACGTGGACTGATATTTAGGCTGTGTGAAACTACAGCATGTAAACGCCAGACTTGTGCTCTGAGCAAGTGAGCATTCCCTTGCTAGTCGTTGGTTACTTCCCCTGACTTCATCTGGAGAGGCGGTAGCGGCAAACGTTTAGTCCTTAGCGGCTGCTTTTCTCGTCCTTTTTGCTTTTGTCCTGATGGGAACTATGTAAATCCTTGAGAACAATGTTATCCCGTCAGCCGTGGCCGTATCTAGTTGAGTAGTTGCTCCATCTGCTGTGAAACCTTGTGATGGTTTCTGGGCTGAAGGGTTGATGCAAAAGCAAAACTCAGGAAACCTCGATATTATGTTTGGTGCGGTTGTTTGGTTGTCAGGTGGATCATCAAATCAGCCCTGCCCTATGTCCTCCAGAGATGTGCTTGTTGAGGTAGTAGATAGTGTGTTACGCTACGTGCCATGTTTAAGGGATGACCAGTTTGAGCTGTTTTTGCTTTGCTGTTGCTGTCATTACCGGAGCACGGTATGAGCGAAATAAGTGTACAAAAATTACGACCGCATATTCAAGTAATAATATTTAGGTCTGCTAAAAGATGGTCCATGACTCGAACTCACTATCTGCATTCGGGGGCAAACATGCTTTCGTAACCTGTTATATACTCAGCTTCCCTCCGATCCTCATCTAACGGTCCAGACGCGCTTGCCCGGCCACCCACGGCCCAACCCGCGCCGCTTGGGCCGCCAAACGAAAGCCGTTCTCGGTCTCGACTCTGAGTGTCTGACTCACCTCCGCCTCCTCCTCCAAGTCTCAGTGCGCTCCGCCTCGCCAGTCGCCACCACCGCCCCACGCCACCGCCTCCCGCGCCGTGCCCCCTGCCCTTGCTCGGTTGCGCCCACTCCCACCTCGCCGTGCCGTGCCGCGCCGCGCGATGCAGGCCCGCGTCGTCGTCTTCCCCGTCAAGGGCCGCGCCTGGTGCTTCGCCCTCCCGCGCGCCTCGGCCGCAGCGTCCGCTGCCGATGGCGCCCTTCCGCCGCCGCCGCCGACTCTGAGGGACCTCTGGCGCGGCATCTCCTCCGGGGGACGCACGGCGCCGGAGAAGGCCGAGGCCGTTGTCGACTTCGTCGCTGACAAGGTGCCGCCCTTCTCCACGCTCGTGCGGGTCCCCGTGGCGTGGCGTCGCCTGCATTTGGGTTTTCTGACGGATTGGTTTCGATGCTCAGATGAACAGGGCGTGGATCGGGTTCGGGAGCGCGCCGGAGGGGTCGATGAAGAGCCGGATCCATAGGTGAGTTTAAGGCTCGGCTGGGATTGATTTGGAGATGGCGAAATGATGCTGGGTCGTTGGGCTTATGCGCCGTCTGCTTTCCGTTGTGTTGCAGCTTCGGGCTGAAGCTGCTCTCCCGGGTGAGGCCGTCGGAGGTGCTCCTGAAGTCCGTCACCAAGGACGTGAGCGCGCTCGAGATCGTGCATCCGGCGAGGTCAGTTGTGATGATGTGATAATCTCTGCATTTCCACTTCTCTCGGCAGAAGCCCGTGTGTATTTAGTAGACGTCTCTTGTTTTTTCCCCCTGTTGTTTAAATGGGAAGAAGGTGCTGTTGGCTGTTGTTGCATTAATGCGCCCTGTCAAAATGTCCTCAGGTTCTGGGGATTTCATTACCCAATATTAGTTGTTAGAGCAATTGGTTGCCATAGGCTTAGCTTATGTACATTGTCAGCAATGAATAACACTATCGAAGTGACATAACAGGGTAAAAGAAACTATACCAGTGTGACCCTGTTTCCTAGTGTGGTTTCCTACTTCTGTACGATGACCTTGTGCTCTAACGTCCTTAGAATCTCAACCATCTTGCCACCTGGTCTCAGGAGTGGTGACACACACTGGGTTTTGTTGGATGTGCCTTGAAATTGGTTTATGTTGGCGGTCAACAGCTATTTGTGTGTAGCCTTGTGCACGCTCAATCGGTGGTTGCTTGTCTATTTGTTTTCTCCATGATTGTAATCTGTGTTTTTTCTTACTACACTGTTAGTATGACTTTTAGGTATGCTTGATCGAGGATAGACGTATACTAATATGGCTGGATTTGTGGAATGTGGATTGATTATGGAGTAGTAAGGCAGAGATAGACTGGGCTCACCCTCCGAAGAGGCTCTTAGTTTTTATGCTTATTTCTCCATAAAACCAAATGAATCTGCCTTACTCTGTTATATAGAGTCAGCCTAACACAGCTGACTAACATACTGCTGTTTCTTCTCCTCTCAAATAACTTATGCAACTTAAGCAATGAATTCAAACAAACTTGAACAGACTCTCAACTAGGATAAGCTTAGGCACTGGTAGACACCTCCTGCTGCTTGCGTCGTGAGTAGGTCTTGCCGATGAAGGTATCCACAACATATATGTTGTCCATGCCAGTTGTTATTGCACATAGCATAAGCCCCATAGGACCTGGAAAATCACTTTGTAGCAATGACTGCATTAACTTTAAATGATGTGATGCGGTTGATACTTTAAGTCCCAAACAAGTTGGGGTAGGCTAGAGTTAAAACCAGCAGAAGCAATCAAGGTTTAGGCACGTGAATAGCTGTTTTCCAAGCACTCCTATCTAAGGTTAAGTCTTTGGGTATATTCCATCCTTTCAAGTCTCCTTTTATTGTCAACTTCGGTCTTCCTCTGCCTCTCTTCACGTTACTATCTTGGCTTAGGATTCCACTATGCATCGGTGCCTCTGGAGGTCTCCGTTGGACATATCCAAACCATCTCAACCGGTGTTGGACAAACTTTTCTTCAATTGGTGCTACCCCTAATCTATCACGTATATCATTGTTCCGAACTCGATCCCTTCTTGTATGACCGCAAATCCAACGCAACACACGCATTTCCGCGACACTTATCTGTTGAACATGTCGTCTTTTCGTATGTCAACATTCTGCACCATACAATATAGCAGGTCTAATCGTCGTCCTATAAAACTTGCCTTTTAGCTTCTGTGGTACCCTTTTGTCACATAGGACACCAGATGCTTGGCGCCACTTCATCCACCCTGTTTTGATTCTATGGCTAACATCTTCATCAATATCCCGTCTCTTCCATGAGTGATGGAATGGTACACCATCATAATCCACGCCAATTGCAAGAGCATTGATCCTAAATATCGAAAGGTATCATTCCTAGGCACTACTTGATTTTCCAAACTAATATCTTCCTCCTCCCGAGTAGTAGTGCCGAAGTCACATCTCATATACTCGCTTGTTTTAGTTCTCCAAATGGATCGAGTCTAAAACCTTTGGACTCAAAGTCTCCCGCCATAACTCCGCTTTCACGATTCACTCTGTCCGGCTTTCATCAACTAGCACTACATCGTCATTCCGTCATGAAAAGCATACACCAAGGATGTGTCCCCTTGTATGTCCCTTGTGACCTCATCCATCACTAAGGCAAACAGATAAGGGCTCAAAGCTGACCCTTGATGTAGTCCTATCCTAATCGGGAAGTCATCCGTGTCTCCATCACTTGTTCGAACACTAGTCACAACATTGTTGTACATGTCCTTAATGAGCCCGACGTACTTCGTTGGGACTTTATGTTTGTCCAAAGCCCACCACATAACATTCCTTGGTATTTTATCATAAGCCTTCTCCAAGTCAATAAAAACCATGTGTAGGTCCTTCTTCTCCCTATACCGCTCCATAACTTGTCTTATTAAGAAAATGGCTTCCATGGTTGACCTTCCGGACATGAAGTGGCGCCAACATAGCCAGCTATTAGTGACATGCATTATTTTTCCTTTACATTTTAATCCCTCATAAACATGACCTGCAAAATAGCCAGCTATTAGTTTGGCTGTCTTTATTTTCACCCTATCTCATGAAGTTGCCTCATTCTCTTACATAACAGAGTAATCTTAAGCGCTGTTTTTTTTTTAAAGATAGCTTCAGTAATACGTGTCCACAAGTGCATGGAAACCTGCAACTGAAAGCCTAGCATACTCATTTGGTGTTGGCATCTCACAGGACATGCCTGATAGCATCTTGATAAACAGGTCGTAGATGTCATTTAATTTTCTTGGTTTTAGATCTCAAAATCTTGTCTTTGAATTTATAAGATAGGTTAGTTATAACTTATAAGTATTTGCAATTTACATTCTATGTGTTTATCTGCAAATTGTTTGGAGAATGTTAGTTGCGAGTTAATACTTTATTTACTAAGGCTTTAGGGTATTCATATGACTCTTTGTAAGCAGATAAGTCAGCATCTTTACTTTGCTAAATAGAGTAACTATGTGGTAAACATTACTTCTGTGCTTATGCCTTCTTATTTGTTGTGTATACTATGCTTGTTTTACAGTATATTACCCCAAGAGCTGAGAAATGAGTCATTTGTCAATTTTCATATCATTTTTAATCATTGTCTTTGTTTGTAATTGTGTGCCCTCATGGATGCGGTACTAATCATATGCTTGACGTGATTTAGAAGTTAGCATATGAGCTTTAAGAGTCATTACCCTCAAAAGAAAATCTCTAAAAACCACTATGGTACTACCAAGCATCACTTGCCAAAGTCTTCTGGTTGCCAGTTGCCAACACGGTTGGCCAGCACTTTTTTGTACTCGCACACCTTCATTTATATTTATATATGCTTGTTAAATTCTAAACTGCAATCTCTTATGCAGCATAAATTCTCGTCTTGTGCGTCGACGGTTGTGGCATATTGCTGTTAGGTGAATGCTTGATGCCCTCAAACACACACATTGTGCATTGTCTAGTTTAATTAGTATATTTTCTGACCCTTTTGCTTGTGCATTGTTTCTGACAACCAGGGGTGCGTCAGTTCACAAGAAATTTCTGTATGGTTCAGTTTGTTTGCTTCCAGTTACTAGTGTTTTCACGGTAGGTTTACAATCATTTTTTGGGTTTTGGTTTCAACTAGTAATTCAAAACAATTCTGTCAGTTGGAGGGTTTAATGTTCTCTTCAGATATTATCACTTTAGATTTATTGCTAATTTTACTGTGTCAAGTTTTGGCTAAGGATCAAAGGATGTGACTGTATTCTTCATTATTGCACACTTTTCAAGTTTACATACTTGTACAAGTGGTGTTAACTTTATGGGCTATAACATGATGCAACTGTCTTCTACTTGATTTTTTTTTTCCGATTGCAGGTACTACCGTTACCAAACATACCATTCTTTTGGGTGCTATTTCGTGCTTATTCTCATTGGAGAGCTCTACAGGTTTGTGAAATCATCCAATTAGTCTTACAAGATTTTGGCTCCACTTGTAAATAAATTCTGTGTGCACTGTTTTTCATTGTCACTGTTATGGTACTCATTGATTTGTCAACTATGCACCATGTTTTCTTAATTTCTGCCTTTTGAGTCCATGCGGTTTATACGCTCAGTTTTGTGAAGTGAAAGACCCCCTAAATTGCGCAAATGTTTTATGTTTGATACAAGTTCTTCAATTTACCAGTCTAATATGTTAGGTACTATACAGACGTCCAGATGATGACACTATTGGTATTTGTTTATTGTTTCTTCTTAGGTTTGCCTGATGTTTATTTTGGTATAGGGAAGTGAGAGGCTCCAGTTACTAGTTTCTGACTGCTCAGATCAGTGGAAAGTACTTGAGAAGGAGAAGATTAATTCAGTAAAGGATGATAACCCCTGTGAAAATGCACGGTATTCTCCTTGGGTAGGTTGCCGCAACTTTACATATGAGTAAGACTTTCATTTTGTTGCATCCTTGGGGCAGCTTTGCAATGAGGCAATGTAATGGGCAACTGGAATTTTGATCATCTTTTGAAACTTCTCCTGCTAATTGAACTAACATGGTTTCTGCTCCCTACACATCTTATTACACGCAGTGTTTCCTTAATGGTGTCATTTCTGATCAAATATAAAATCTTGCATTATAGATGGAACATAATAACCATATAAGTCAGATACTTCAACACTGTTGGTAAATTGAGTGTTAGAATGGCATTATCCTAGCCATTACTAGTCTTCCTATCTCAGTCATTACTGGCACTAATAGCAGATCATGTCTGCATGTACTTTTATAGACTATTAATTAGGCTAGATTAGAGGACATTAGGAGGATAGCTTTGATTCTTTCCTTGCATGTACACTCACTGTTGTATAAGTACAGCCTACAGCAATAGAGAATTCATTCCACCTAATTGCCTATCTTCTTTCACTGAGGTCCTATCACTTACGTAATGCAATCGTGTCGGGGAGGCCTGGATGCAATGTCAACGAAGCATCTGTCAAATTATGCCATGGGAGCATCTTAGGCTGTTGCATTGTTTTGGCTGTAGTTCTGTATTCAAATGTTCCCAATGAACCACCTTTCTAAATGTGTTCATGCCTCTTAGAATATGCACAAATGAGTAAACATACTACCTTGCTGGGAGGTAGCACAAATGAGTAACATACTACCGTGCTGTACTCGAACTACTATAAATTTGCCTTTCTGTTATAAGTTAAGATTACATGGGCCACATCAGCTCCCAATCTTTTATGAAATGATTGCATAGCCAATGGCAAACAAACCTGCATAGATCCATGTTTTGTATTATACGGTAAATCATATTGCGAGTGTAATACATGTTCTCTGAGAGAGGCGGCGGAATAAAGGGCTGTTCGTGTGTGGGCGTGTTTTAAATGAAATCGCTAGATTTCAATTACTTCTATTCCCTGCATTTCTACTTAGTTAATGTGTTTTTTTTTCATGAACAGAAGCTGCGGCCATCAGAAAAGCTTGACAGGTTTCTTGAGAGTAAAAACTTGGATGAAGGTTTGGACTGTGATACCATTTTGAGTATATGCCAGGAGTATGATTTGGACAAGATCGATGTTCTCAAGTACAGGGATCTTCCGTAACCACATCCAGATTGTTTCTCTGAGGTTTATAGGGTAAAATTCTTCTGCTAGTGAGATCAAGATTAAGGGTACAAGAGTTGCATGGACCCACTAACAATTGGCGGTCAAATGAGAAGTTCTTTTAAATAGCTTCAGTTTTTCTTGTTATGTATCAAACCAGTCTGCCACTAGTGCAATGATCTCAGAAACTAAGAGGACATACGAAACTGTTGAAGCCCAGGGCAGGTGTTCCCACAGTGTAAATAAAGATGCAGTTGTCATTTTGCTAGCTGCATACTTCCTCCCCAACCCCCGTCAGAATTTTTTAGCTGGGATCAATGAACGACAAATACAACAGTAGGGTTGAGAATTGAGATTGACCATCCGGAACGTTTTTTTTTTTGTGTGTTTATGGTTCCCAATCAATCTTTGGTTGTATTTGAATCTTGTACTGGGATCCAATGCATAATCTTCTCGGTTTGGAGGGATTCTAGAGCTTTGATCTCTGAGGTGCTTTTTCTGCACAAATGCATGACTAGCTTTATATCTGGACTGATGTAGCTGCTGATTGATTTCTATCGGTATCACAACGTTGTATTCTGATTCCGATAGGTGCACAGGATGCTAGTTTTCAGTTGGGCTGCTTTGACTTTTTCACTTGCCGCATGGCTTGTCGGCCTCTCAGTAGCTGATAGGTGTACAGATGCTAGTTCTCAGTGGGGCCGCTTTGAATTTTTTCCCTATCCGCATGTATTGTCGGCCTCTCAGTAGCCGATAGGTGCTTGCCAGCCTCCGGTTGGGCTGCTTTGACTTTATGGCTCGTCGGTCTCTCAGTAGCCGATAGGTGCACATGATGCTAGCTTCAATTGGGCTGCTTTGACTTTTTCACTTGCCGCATGGCTTGTCGGCCTCTCAGTAGCCGATAGGTGTACAGAATGCTAGTTTTCAGTTGGGCTGCTTTGACTTTTTCGCTATCCGCATGGCTTGTCGGCGCTCAGTAGCCGATAGGTGTCCGCTCGGTCGCTGGATAGCCTACAGGATGTTAGTTTTGCAATTTTATAAAAATAGCATCTAGATATGCAATTATTTATTAAAATAATATTATTTCAAAAAAATACGTGTGTGCAATGCCTTGCGTTGCAATACTTATAGGATTAAGGTTGTATTTGGTTTAGTCTCTAGAAAGTGTTTCTGCTACTAAAAAGTAGAAGGCCAATCAAATATGTAGTCAGAAGTTGCTTTTTTTAGAAATTGCCGATTTCGCATAGTATAATTTTCGCATCATCTTAAATCCTATTTTTAGCTTTATCTTTTAACTTGTCCAAATGGATAAAAATAGAGAGGTGTGAAATCAGCCTATAAAATGATGGGAAATACTCTGTGAAATCAGCCTACAAAATGATGCACACCGGCTCGTCGGCGGTTTGGCGTGGTTGCTCGCCCGCACACCTACGGCATCGGTGCTTGCCCGCGCGCCTGTTCATGAGTAGCCAGAGTCTACGACGGTTGGACTATCCTTGCTCTGATGTCTGATCTCATCGATGACTGACAGGAAGCTCGCATCAGCTGGAAGTACCCCTCGGTAGGTAGCCTTAGCGCGTCGTTGGTGTACATAAACCGCACCAGGCTTCGAAACGCCACCGGTCGAACACCGTGCAGCGTGATGCAGTCCATCCTAGCGTCTGCCATGGCGCCAAAGGGTTGCGCTCCAAACACCGGCGAGTGCAAGGAACGTCTCGCCGCCCACCGAGAAGGAGACGTCCGACGTCGACGAGCCATCGGCGTAGTCCAGCAGCCAAGGTGGCTCCCCAGGTCGGAGGCGAGCACAGAGATGCGGTCATCGTCCAGAACTACGATTCGACGGTGTATGGGCGCATCGTCGAGCAGCAGCAGCAGCTAGAACCGGAGGGCGCCATGCTCGCCATCGCCGACATGATGCGTGGCGGCGGCTGCTGCTCGCGCGTGTGCCGGTGGCTCACCCGCGACCCTGTGCAGCGGCGGCTGCTCGCCTGCGCGGCCGTGGTGCCTGTGTGCGAAAGAGGCGGCTCGCGCGCCTGCCTGTGCGCGGCGGTGGCGGCTCACCCGCGCCCCTGTGGGGCAGTGGCTCGCCCGCTTGCCTGTGCGCCGCGGCGGCGGCTCGCTCGTGTCATGGCAGCAAGGAAGAAGATGGTGATTATTTTTAAAATAGTCCCTCATGAAGTTTATAAATATTTATATAATTTATGTGTCTAGGTGATTTTATTTCTAACCCGCTAATCTTTTATTTCAAACAATGAAGTCTTATCTCTACCCGCGCGCACGAATCCATACCCATTTAGATGAAAATGAGACCCAGACAGAGTTTAAGGACCGGAATGACACACTTTCTGAGTTCCGGGACCAGGATAACACACCCCTGCAAGTTCGAGGACCAGCCATGAACTTTACTCTATAATAAATATCATTAGACAAAGCATGGAATATACATAAGAAATATATTTGAAAACATAAATGTTGATATTTCATAACAAAGATTTACATTCTTTTTGGATGGAGGGAGTATTTATGTTTTATCAAATTTTTTGTTTAACCGATTTTTTGTACCATCACAAGTATTTGCAACCTCTCAATGCTTGACAATTGGATAAAAGAAACGAACAATGATATATGCAAATTAAAATGCATGGAAACTATAACGAGCTATGAAACCACGTGGTATTTAGGATTTTCTTATAAACATTATATACAGCCGGCTCTGCATATGTTATATGGAAAGTATCAGATTAATTGATACTATCTCGTAAAAGAAGAAATAGAGTAGAAGTTAACTAAAAGGAAGAGAGGGCACATGCTTAGTCATGAGGCGTGACCTTGCTTTCACCTTCTCTGCGTGGCGGACACACAGGAGGGAGTACAGACACCAGACAATAAATAAATGATGTGAAATGGGGCCTATCGGTTGTACTGAACATTTCGGCAGCTGAGTTGCTGATAGATCTTCAGTGGGTCTGCTTTAACTTTTTCACTGTCGGCTGCTCAGTAGCCGATAGGTGCACATGATGCTAGTTTTTAGTTGGGCTGCTTTGACATTTTCACCTGCCGCATGGCTTGTCAGCCTCTCAGTAGCCTTGCTAGTTCTTAGTTGGTGCTTTGATTTTTTTCACTATCTGCATGGCTTATCGGCTCTCAGTAGCCGATAGTGTCCAGAATGCTAGTTTTCAGGTGGGCTGCTTTGAATTTGTCACATGCGATGGTTTGTCGGCTACTCAGTAGCCGATAGGATGCACTTGTACTGCAGCCCATTGCCGCAAAATACCAGATTTAGGTATCATTGTATTACCGGTCGTTTTTTTCGACAAAACCTAACTCAGATTTAGATTGAAGATAATTTCAACCCGATAATAGTAGCACTTTCGTTTATTTGGTAAATATTGTCGACAAAGTCGAATTCATCCTATTTCCACTAAACTGTGCAATTAGACAGCAACTCAAAAAAAAAAAATTATTGTGAAGGAGAGTGAAAAAACTTGGAATTTTGCGTCAAACAAGAAAGTTTGCAGCGTCAGAAAGTTTGCATGCATGCATGCATTCGCAAATAAAAAAAAAAGTTTTGAAAAAAAACTTTTCCCCCGTACGACACGCGACTGCGCTGGCATGCATCGGCCGCCGCCGACGAGCACGATCTCCGCGCCTGGAGGCCCAGGCAAACACGACTCCTCCCCGCCGGCGTGCGGGCCGCACCCGCTCTCGGCCTTCACGACTGTGCCGCGACCTCCGCGCCTGGAGGCCCGGGCAAGGGCGCCTCCTCCACAGCGGCGTGCGGGCTGCACCCGCTCTCGGCCTTCGCGACCGCGGCGGCGACCTCCGCGCCCGGAGGCCCGGGCAAGCGCACCTCCTCCCCGCTGGTGTGCGGGCCGCACACGCTCTCAGCCTTCGCGACCTCCGCGGCGTCGTCCCACCATGGCCGAATCCTTCCTCGATGGCCCCATCCTCGGCAGGGTGTCGTAGACGAGGAAGGCACGGGCTGGAGAATATGAGAGCGCCGTTGTTCGAGGCGACGGGCAGAGGAGGCGGCGGAGGAGGAGGCGATGGGAGGGGCACCGACTGAGGAAGGCACGAGCTGAGGACTAGTACGAGGGAAGAGCAACCCGCCGGCGCTGCCCTTGCTCTCGGACGGAAGAACCCGCGAGCACCACGTCATGGACGGAGGAAAGGATATATATATGCCTCCTCCCAGGCTCACATCGTCTATTTTTTCTCTTCTTTTATTCCTAATAGTGGCCGATAGGGAAACGTCCTCTATCGAGGGACGGCGGGAGTACTATTTTATTGTTTATGTAGAGTCGAGATCAACTCATCAGCTTGTGTTTTAATCGTGGTCATTATGGCCGTCGCCGTGGCTTGGGTGAAGCTCAAGTGGGCTGTGGCGCCCGAAAGCGACGCTTGCTCGGCTCCAGCGAACTTTCACCCCCCCCCCCAGCCCCCACCCCCACACACACACACAAAAAAAAAGAGAAGAAGATACACATGGAACAACGCAAGCTCTATAGAATTTTGCGATGTACTACCTCTATCTCTAAACAAATGTAACTATGGGTTGCGAGCCACTTTGAGTGCTTTACGTTTAACTAATTTTTAGTAAATAATATTCATATTTATGGCTCTAAATTAATTTATTATGAAAATATATTTCATAATTAATCTAATAATATTTATTTTATATTATAAATATTTATATTGTTTATCTATAATTGGTTAAAGTTGATATACTAAAACATGATACTGTTACATAATATATTCTTTTAGGGACGGAGGGAGTAGTACGGTAGCGCAAGGTCAGCAGAGGTTAAACATGCCGGGCCTGTTTATATGTAAGGTAGAGGCATGATCCGATAGTAATCCCCGAGTACAAGCAAGTGTTGGGGATTTAGGGAGGGCAAGATCTGGCTGGCGCGATTGTTTATGTGCATCTCCTTCCTGGTGTTTATCTGCATCGTAGTCTTCTTGCTGGCTGGCGAACCGCCAGGTCCCTCACCAGCAGC